ATCTAACGATAAACCGGTACCTGTCCAAGGTAGTCTCTGATCACCAAAGAGACTGGGACCGCTTCCTTCATCTGTTCCTGTTGGCGTACCGTTCTTCTGTCCACGATACAACCGGCCAGACACCCGCTAGCATTGTTATGGGACGTGAACTTCGTCTACCTTGTGACTTAAGGTTTGGTTGCCTACCAGGGGAAGACATTGCTGGAGAAGATTACGTTAGCAATTTACGTAGGAAAATGAGCGACATTCACAGCCGAGTTCGTTTAAACATCCAGAGTGCCAGTGATTGAATGAAAGCGGCATATGACATCAAGGCGGAAAATGGAGGATTTCAACCTGGAGACCTAGTTTGGTTATACAACCCTCAGCGCCGTCGTGGTTATTCACCGAAGCTGTAGACTTCTTGGGAGGGACCTTACGAAGTCATGGATCGAATAAATGACATCATCTACAGGATCAGGAAACAACCAAGAGGAAAGCCGAAAGTGATCCATTTCAACCGATTGGCTCCTTACGCTGGAAACAATGATCGAATAGACGATGCTAGAGTAAGAAGAGTTAATCCGCCGGAAGACGACTTGCCTTTTGAAGACTTCATGTATTTATATTCGAGCGGTAAAAAAGCTCGGTATGGTGTCACTCGAGAAGAACAAAAAGATCTGTTCACGGTTTCGGCCGATTACTCCTTGGCCCACTGTGTTGCAGAAGACCTTAGGATGTCCAGGGGAATAGCGGTTGTCTTTAAAAACAAGTTTGGACGGGTCGACGAGCTACGAAGGCAGAGTCCCAAAGTTGGAGAGGTGCTTGAAATTGTGGAAAATAAGCAGATAGGTAACAGGAGTATCTTCTATCTGGTAACGAAGCAGCTCTCCTATCAGAAGCCAAACTACCGTGACCTATGGAATGCCTTATATAAATTGAGGGATACCCTTTTGTCAAAGGACATCATGAACCTGGCGATACCGAAGATTGCTTGTGGACTTGACGGTTTGGACTGGAGAATAATTAGAAGTATGGTGGAAGTTATCTTCAGATTTAGTGGCATACACATTCTTGTCTGTTGCCACAACCCTAAAAAAACAACCGGAAGGAAGACCGTAGACTGCTACTTCTATAGGACGTCGCAATGCAAGTTTGGATCTCTATGCAAATATCGCCATGGAGCTGAGGACCATTTTCGGGACGAAAATGTTTTAAGACGGGGGCAACGTAGCGAGTTCAGCTCTGGATCTCGGAATGATGACTCATCGCTCGAATAATCGAGAGTGTGGAGCTCGCTGGAATGTTCCAGAAGAAGTAGGCGCTGAATATATAAGGAACGACGCATCTGGGAGAGTTAGTTGAGCTTTGGTACTCGCGAAGAAATAAATAAATATAAGTGCAAATAAATAAACTAGTAGTGATATAAATAATTAATAGTTAATTGTTTAGTTAGTTTTATAGTTTTATAGTGTTTTAAGTGTAGTTAAGTTATTAAATAAATAGTTTAGTTCGTTAATTAACCAGTGCGTGTTTTAATTCACACTACGAACAGTTAAAAACGTTACATTATTCTCGATTTTATTATACGTCTGGGTACAATCAACTTCTAAGAAAATTTATATGGAGTCGTAGGTATACCTATAGGGACGTTGGCAATGACAAAACACGAACACGATCTTCAAGCTGCTTATGTTAACATACAATTGTTGTTTATGAAAAGAAAATTATTAATAAAGCACGAAACAGCACTAATTGCACGTAAATACATTCTTTACCTCTGGAAAATTCCGATAAATTCCAAAGAGCAGAGAAGAAATACCACCATATACGCCATCATAGAAAAAGAACGCCATTGACAACGGATTATGGGAAACGTCGTCACGAACGGTTCTACCCGAAGAAGACCGATGTTTTTAAATTCAAAACTATGCGTTATAATAACGGTGTTTATACATTTAAATAATTTGAACGATTGAAGAACGAATAGATATTATAAACTATTTTTAATAATAAACTTCTGTTTTTTGTAAATGAATCTTTCTTATAATAAGGCTAATCAATTTGTTTGTCTCTCTGTGACCCCCTTAGGCTGTCCCACGAACATCCAAAGAAGGCAAAAGAGTAACCTCATAAAAATAGGTGGTTTATATAATTCGTACTTACATTATATTTCTCACAATTTATTACATATCCGAAAATTGCTTGACCTAAAAGTTTATACATGATAGCCAACCCACATAGTACAAGATGTCCTGTGCTGTGTGAAAAGAGACGTCCTATTTAGGTTATTCTCGGCTTAGCCAGGCCGAACGGGTCTGGGACATCCATAGAACGTCAAGTCTAGACCCGCGGTCCGGCTTAGCCTTATTAGGCGTATTTTGGACGTCCAAAATACGCCTATCCAGGCTAAGCCGGACTGGGTCTAGACTTGACGTCCTATGGATGTCCCAGACCCGTTCGGCCTGGCTAAGCCGAGAATAACCTAAATAGGATGTCCGTGGGCTATCTTGTGCTATCTGGGTTTAGCGTGTATTTCATTTAGATACGTATAGGCACGTATGTGCTCTAGGTTCCTACATTTTTCCGTTCCGCTTTCTTTACCTGTCAATTTTAATCCTCTCAAATCAGTTCCTTCACATAATCTGGAAGTCTACATTGCCTTTGGAAGAAACTTTTGCGAAAATTGACATATTGGGGTGTAGAGATCCTGGGATACAACATCCAGGAACTTGGTTCCCATATATGTACAAGCATATGGTCACATGGACTAGCTTCCAAACACCAAGATTGAAAATACCGAATTTAGAAAGAAGAAGAAGAAGATTGTAAAAAAATTTGCTTACCTATATTATAAACATTGCTTTCGTATTTTTATAAGTCTATAACACAAAAACAGTGTTTATAAATACTTTTATTTGTGTTTTCTTTTGCAATAACCAAATACCACATCTCTGAATAATTCTGTATATTTTAATCGCTATAGGTGTACCTATCATTTCTCTGCTTAAATTTTTATTAAGTTTTATTAACTCTTCCTCATACTTTTTTCGACTTAATAAGACTTATTCAGAGTTTTTAAGAGAAAGTAAGACTTTCAAAACTCTTACATCTACTTGTAAAAACTTTTTCAGAAAAAAATGTCTGCAAGGGAAGACCTAAATAAAGACTGGCGATTTAAAGGTCGCGTTGCTTTTTTATAGAAAAGGGAAGGGATAAATTCTTAAAGACCATTGATCCGCAAAGGGCATAGGAAATTTACTGTTTCAAAGGTCATACCTACCTAAAATGACGAAGGGCCATTGGCTTCAAGCGGTGAAATGGTTTCCAGGAAAAAGAAGTTAACTTTTGACTCAAGTCCAATTAAGGGATAAACTTGAATATTTAAAAGGCCTAAATTTGTTTAGTGGGTGTTTCGACTAGGCATAGGGCAGGGGTTTGCGGCCGGTATTGCCAACTTCATATATACGTTATAATTTGCTAAATTCCCTAATTATAATTAATTAATAATTATTAATGGTTCCCAATAGCATGCCTTGAAGTAACAACAGTTGCCTAGTGATCGAATCCAGTATTTTCCTACCTGGTTGTTAAACTTCAAAGCTTATACTTACAAATCTGTTTATTTGTTAATATTTACAATAATTGTTGTCAGTTATAATTTATTATTTTCTTTCTTCTGCTCCTTTTTCTAATTTCTTTTATTTTGTTTTGCTTCTTTGTTATCTTTCCTTATCTCTTTATTTCTTGTTCTTTATTTCTTATGCTTCTTTAAGTTTATTTTTATATAAGTTTATTAAATATATTTTTTTATTTTAGTTCCACCCTTACCAAATGGACTTGCAAACAAATCAAAAAATCTACATACATAACAGGCTGATCGAGACTTATCTTTGCAGCGTTTCCATATTTGCAAAACAATACAATATCGCCGACGGTGGTGTAGTGGTTAGTGCATGCTGACTACAAGCCGGAGGTCGTGGGTTCGAATCCCACCAGGGGTATGGCTGTTTATTTTGTGTTTGTCCTATTGTGTATTAGTCCTTCGGAGGGGACTTTAAGCCCGCGGTCCGTTCCTACCCCTAACCCGCACAAGCCATTCAGTTGGCTTATGGGACTTCTTAAGAAGTAAGGGTGGAACTAAAAGAGCACTTTTGTATATATAAACTTTTTGTATACAATATAATCTAATTTCTATAATCTATAATCTCTATTTCGAGGATTAATTTTAAACTGAATGAATTCGTTATTCTTTTAATTACCTTTATTAATTTTATTATACTTTTTAAAATTGTTGGTTTAAAAAGTGTGTTTGCCACATGTTAGTCCTTGGAACAAAAATGCTTGGCGGCTTTTGGGAGACCGGATGAAACCTGCTGTGAAATACTTTATTGCCTCTATTTGAATTTTTTTAAAAACAACCCAATAAATACCTTTTGACATTATATCTCAAGTACCCTTTTTAAAATTAACTTATTTCGCACCTAAACCTTTCTAAGAAACTGCGGCTTTTTCTACGAATTATTTTAACAGTCTTTTTCAACTTTCTCCCTATTACAGAACTAAGTTGCTCTTAAAATATTCAACATGTGCTATTTTTTTACATGTAAATGTCTAATTTTCCTGGACTAACACTGCCGTGCAAAAAGTGTTAACTACTGTATTACCTAATTACTTTTGTAGTCAGTACATATGTGCTTAGCAGTGCTAAGTTAGCATAGCAGAGAACATGTTCGCTTTTTATTTTACAGGACTCGCAGTCTTTTTTTATTTAAAAAATCGATAAAGAAAAAACAGCTGCAAATGCGAAAGTTAAGTCATCTGCTTAAGGGAAAATTTCTCCAAAAATCTGCCATTGTCACATCGCTCAAAACGCAGCGAAAGTCAAATTTTCGCGTACAATGAAAAATATTTTTTCCATATTTCCATAAGAAACTCAAAAACAACCATATTAAGGACCACTCTAATAAAATTTGAATTATTAGGTATAATTTGTTGAAAAATTTATAAAAAAAATGGTTTTGGTCTATAAATAATTTATTTACAAATACAAGTATAAATAAAACTTTTAATAATCCTCAATCAATTATTTTCTTATGTACTGTGTAATTTTATGAATCTGCTCAACAATAACGGCTGTTACTGCTGTTACCGACTGCTCAATTAAATTTTGAATGTAGTGCACTGCCTCTTCATCTCCCAAGTCTAAACGTAATTTATCTTGCACTTTTCTTACAGCCTTGTCAGGTTCTAATGCGATATCAGGAACGCTCGCGTCTACCATAAGGGAAAACAAGTTTAGCATCAAATTGGCATGCCTGAAATGTAAAAAGGTTTGTATGTTTTTTATGAAAGATTTTATGAGATATTTAATATAGATTTATACAGCGTGTCCTAGGCGCAAGACTTTACCAGCAGATGTTTAACTACAATAATGTGTTCAAAAAGATTGTTACCAGGTGAGTATTCTTTCTTAGCAATTTTTTTTGTAGCTGGCTTCCTAGAGCACTTAGTGGTCTATTACGATACTTTTTTGATAAATTAATTGTTTCAAAAATTAAGACAAACTAATTTATTTGATAGTTTTTTTTATTTATTTTAATTAATTTATTAATTTATTAATTTATTTGATAGTTTTTTTTATTTATTTTAATTAATTTTTTTAGGCTGTCAGTTTGGTTAAACTGGCTTTGATAAGGTATTTTATAAAAACCAGTAAATTTCAAATAATATTTTTTTTTCAGCACGCCACTGCGTTATTACTTCAATTAAGTTTAACATTATTTTATGAAATAATTTTTGTATAAAATCAGTCATATTTTTGTTAATAAATTTTAATTGTGTTAATTAATTAGATTTTACAAAATGGGTGATTTTTAAACTTTTACACAATCCAATTGTGACTATATAATCTTTAATAATGTCATATATTGTCAATATTGTCATATTTTTGTTAATAAATTTTAATATGAGCAAGATATAAAAAATAAGAAACCAAAAATTGTGTTTATTAATTAGATTTTACAAAATGGGTGATTTTTTAACTTTAACAGCAATAAAACCTTTACAAAAGTTGAATAACCACTATAGAATCTTTAATAACCCATTTTAGAACCTTTAGCCTGCCATATTTTTTTTAAATTTAAATAATAATAATAATAATAATAGTGATAATAATTTTATCCTTTTAATATGTCACGTTTAAAGCGTTTTTAACCAGTGTAATTAGATTGTCTTATCTAAATGTCTGGTTATTTTAATGGAAAATCATCTTTTAACTACCTAGCTTCAAATATTGGTTGGTTTGTATACTATCCAGCTTACAAGCTATACAAGACTTATACAAAGTACCAACCACAAATCAAAAAATATTAACTTGAACACCTTTTTAGAGAATTTCTTTTTTAATTAAAAAATACTTATAAGTGTTTTTAGCTTAAATATAAAATAAATTATTGTAATTTCGAATTGCAAGATTTCAAGATGTGATTTTTATCAATTTTAATCACACAAATTACAAATTAATCTAAGTGTTTTAAGACCGAAATCTAATCTCATGAAAATTAAAAGAAACTTACCTTCTTAAATGCAAGAAAGCAGTATAACATAGCTTTCTAAAAGTCTGGTAATGTTCAGAATTTACGCCACCCATAGCTTCTACCATCTCTTTGGTCAACTTCATTGGTGGGGGGAGAGGTTTTGGGTCGCGACCCAAAATGTACCCAAAATCAATGTGAAACAGTTTACCGTCTTTGGTTAGCAACAAATTGTCTAAATGCCTGTCGCCTACCCCCAAAATATATGTGATAATACAGTAACCTGCACAGGATCGTACATAAGTGTCCATGATGTCTGGAACTATACCATATGGGCCGGTTTCTTGTGGGTGATATTTTTTAAAGTAATTATGAATGCTTCCTGTAATGAAACAAAAAATGTGATACCACGCTGTAGCAGCGTCGCTGTTAAAGATATGCAAAGTTTAATTTTTTATAACAATTTAAAACAGTTTATTTATATCAACATGTCCAAAAATCCCCCAGCAACGGCCCGACACTGCGATAACCTCTACCGATTTACTCAGACAAATCAAATATCATCAATTTTCGGGTTTTTATACAATATCCATGAATTAAAAAGTATGACTGTCAAGAGTATTTTAAATCATTGTCTCATACTAGAAGAAATCCTAAAATATAATAATTCCAAAGATATTGATGCTACGGAACTCTGTGATGAGCTGCATAGAGCCAAAGGCTACACCGCAAAAAGTTTTAAATTTTTTACGTGAGCACAAAGAGATTTTGCCCAATTTAATAACAGCATCGCAAATTTTGTTAACGCTTCCTGTGACGGTAGCCAATGGCGAACGTAGTATTTCGAAACAAAACAGGATAAACTTGTAGAACTTGCAACCTTATCAATAGAGAAATATATTGCTCAAACTAATCCAACTGAACTTATATCTGACTTTTTCATACAAATTATAGTATGTTTATACAGGGTGTCCCATAATAAGCGTCCAATACTATTAGTATAATAACAGCAGATTCTACGTACAAAAATAAATGCTTCCTAAGGGAGCACAGACCTGTGTAAGGGAGCTACGGCCCCCGAAAGAGGAGCCCCTGAAGATGGTTTTTATTTAATATCTTAAAACCATAAATAGAAAATTAAAATTTTAGAAATTGATCAAACTTTTTACGGGCGATAAGATGATAAAAAATTCAAAATTTCCATGAGTGGTTGGTCAGATAGATAGGGAGTGGGGTTAAAACAACTTTTTTATACGCGTCTTGTGCCAGAATTTGATGTCAGATTATAAAATTTTGTAATTTTGTAAATTTACACACAAAAATGGTCCTCCTGTTGAACTTCGATATTGTAAATAGGGTTGCCAACTTTCGGTTATTGAAATAAAGGACAAATTGGGATTTTTTTTGGGTGCCACGTCTACTTTACAGCTTTTGCGATTTTTTTTTTCGGACGAGGTGGTGTAGATGTCTGTGCTTGACGTAGATGTCTGTGACTTTGGGACATCATCACTTGCATCGACGACTTTATCACCATTCATGATGATTTGATTGATGATGTTTAGAAAAACCTCCAAATAAATAATGATTTGGCATTTAGGCAACTACTTGTTTAAAATAGATAATGCTACATTTTATGAATCTGTTTAATTTAATTTTCCAATTAAAGTTTAAAAATATATTGCGACAAAAAACTGAAATCTAATAATATAATTTTAATATTGTATTTTCCACTTACCGTTTCCTGTTAAAAAGTTGTAAAATAAGGTTAAAAAAAACACCTTACACACAGGGACTAGTCGACTACACACAAGGGCTCAACACAACGAGGAACAAAATAAAAATACAAGGTATGCTGGATAAATTGGAGCTCGGAGATTTACCAAAATATTTCAAATGTTGCCAATTTTACATTTTATGGTAGGTATTTGTATGGGCTTTTTTTGAAATAATTGTGGATTTATCTGTATTTCCGGACTTTAAAGGACATTTGCCGTCCTTTGACACCTTTCAAAGAACAGTATTTAGAAATAAAGGACTGTCCTTTGAAATAAAGGACGGTTGGCAACCCTAATTGTAAACCGTTTTTAAATTACAACCAGCTGAGCATAAATACGGTATTTAAAATACCTACGACGATTTTATACGAAATTTTATAATCTGACATAAAATCCTGGCACAAGACACGTGCAAAAAGTTAGGATCGTTTTAACCCCACTCCCTATTTATCTGACTCACATCTCATGGAAATTTTAAAATCGTTATCAGTACTAGTGATGTAAACTTTCGTTACTTTTGAATACTTGTACCGATTCGTTACTTTTAATATCAATACCCGTTACTTTATATTCGTAACTTTCGGTACTTTTAGTCTTCAGTATCAGTACAATACTGAGTACATGGTTACTCTACTCTTATATGCCTATAAATTATAGGCGATTTGGTATTTTTAGGAGGTAATGGTAATGATAATAGTTTTTGGTACTTTTAAATAAAACATTTTAAATTTTTAAATTTAAACTTTTAAATTAAAAAAGAGAACAGGGATTTTATTAAACATTAACAAAACTTCTTTATTTTCATTTTCATATCAAAACAAAAAAGTATATAAAATAAAATATCATCAGACAAAACAAAAAACTAAACTGAAAATTAAAAAATAACTTAATTTATACTGCATATTTTTATAAATCATTATTACAATGCAAAAATAGTAGTTTTTCCACATTAGATGATTTGACCGGCTTTGGAAAATATGCGTTCGCACGGAACAGAAGTAGCACAAACAATATAGTAGGTAATTAATTTAGGCATTATAGGAAATAGGTATAAAAGTAACGAGTAACGAGTATTTCCAACAACAAGGAATCGGTATTGGGCAAATACCCGTTACAAAGTAACGAGTAGGTACTTTTTTACATCACTAATCAGTACATCTTACTGGCCATAAAGTTTGATTAATTTGCTTAATTTTACTTTTCTATCTTGAACGGTTTTGGAAATATAAAATAAAAACCATCTTCAGGGGCTTCCCTTTAGACCGTAGCTCCCTCGGGAAGCATTTCTCGACCTATGTTTATAGGAACTTTTTTAATTATTTTTGTACGTAGAATCTGCTGTTAAAGTATTGCCCGCAAATTATGGGACACCCTATATACTATGTACCATGATAAAAAATTTATATCCTCCAATTTTAAAACGCAATGTACTTATTTCCTTAAAATTTATAATTTATATTAAAGTTATGCTTACCTTCTGCAGCCAAAGCCTCAGCGACTGTAACAGAATCTATAAATTGTACAAATCCATGCTTTGTACTGGTAGCTAAAACTCTGTAAGGAGTAAGCTTTAAATCCAAATTTTCTTTCCTTAACAACTTATCAATCAAAGTAATCATTTGTAGAATGAGTTGATCCTGTCTTAAATCATCGCCGACTTTAAAGATAGCCACATACTCCTCATTGTTTGCAGTTTTAAAATACAATTTAGACGGCGTCAAAGCGGAGTTAAATAAACTCGCCTTCTCTGGTATAATACCCTGTATGGTAATTTCGGGATCAAGTGGGAATGGCATGGGGTCAAATTTACCAAAATTAAATTTAAAAGCGTCAGAATCCGCTAGCAAATTTTGTAGTTTTTCTGCTTTTCTTTTGCGGTTACCGCTCTCCCTTAGTACTGTTTTCATTAATTTGACCAGTTTGTCGATGAATTTTTGCTGTTTTGTTAGAATAAAACGCTTATTTTGCATTAATTCATTTCCGCGGGCGAGAGCTTGCGAAAAAGTTTTCATTACAGTTAGATACATGTCTCTAACTTCAAGCTATAAAAAATAATTATAATTTAAGTGATTTTATACCTATATGCATTTAAATTTAACGTTATAACAATTTTGTTGTAAAAAACTACATTTTCAAATGTTTAAAAACAATAGTTTCCAAAATATACGATTTGGTCCAATGATATAATATACACTACCCGTCAAAATTAACGCATAAGTAAAAAAATTCAAACTCTAAAACGCCTTTACCAATCTTTATAAAATTTTGGATAAAAATACTTTAACTTATATCTCAGTTTACGTGTTCAAGGGTTTTTCGAGAAAATATCCTTAAAGCCCTTTTATTTTTAAAATAATAAAAAAACGCTCAAAAAAATCTTTTATAGGAATTTTTTTTTAAGTAAATAAAAAAAATGCTGGGAAATAACGTATTTTTGTAAGTATACCCTGAAAATTTTGTACAAATCAAACGAACAGTAACGAAAATAAAGCGCTTTAAAGTCGTCAAAAATGACCACTTTTCAGCAAAATAATCAAAAAGGGGTCATTTTTACCGACTTTGATGCACTGTATCTTCGTTTGATTTGTACAAAATTTTCAGGGTATACTAACAAAAATACGGTCTTTAACAGCATATTTTTTATTTACTTAAAAATAATTTTCCCTTAAGTTATTTTTAAAACGTTTTTTTATTATTAAATAAAAGGGCTTTAAAAATATTTTCTTGAAAAACCCTCGAACACGTAAACTGAGATATAAGTTGAAGTATTTTTATACAAAATTTCATAAGGATTAGTAAAGGCGTTTTAGAGTTAGAATTTTTTTCACTTATTATGCGTTAATTTTGAGGCGCAGTGTACTATTGGACCAAATGGTACATTTTGTTGAATACAAAAAAATATTATTTCTATGATATTATAGACCTAGGCTGTAAAGTGACATTTTTCCAGACTGATAAAATATAAAAAATTCGATTAACACTGATGATAAAAGACTTCAAAATGTCCTAAAAGTTGTGATTTTCCCAAATTTTGCGATTATGTGTCAATATCTCCAAGTCCAACCAAAAACATTTTGTTGGTACAGAACTCCCTTTAACTTACTTAATACAATAATTATTTTAACAAAAATTATTATCTTGTACTTACAAAGGTACTTTTTTGTTTATTTTTGTTAATTTTGTAGATTTTGAGTAATAGTCATACAAAGTTCTTTAATTTCTTTTACGAATAGTAATTTAGTAAAATTTATTTTTAATGTATCCCCCAAAATAAATCAAAAAAATATATAAAAAAGGTTTCTATAAAATAACTTATTCAGTATTAATTAACAAATTATGAAATGCTTACAAAATATAAAAAATGCTAAAGATTTTTTTTGTTTTTTAATGGGCAGCTAATCCAAAATAGTAAAGAAATTAAACCAAAATTGTAAAAGGAGAGATATAGTGTAAATAGTCACTACACAAAGCAAAATATGAAAAAAAGATCCTAAGAAAATGTCTATTTCCAATTTATTTATCTCAGGGTTTGGTTCCATTTTATGAGTTTTTACTTAATTTTACCCAAAAACGGTTCTCTTATTTAAAAGGTCTAAAACCAACCTTTGTGTCCGTTGTGTCCTCTTTAAACTTTGAAGTTCAAAGGGGCGTAGCTCCCTTAAAAAGCATTTTTGACCCCATGTTCTTAGGAACTTTTTTCTTATTTAGTGCTGTAGAATCACACCTTAAAATGTCTGTATGCTATCTTTAAATTATTAAACCAAAAAAGTTCTTAATATTAATATTAAACCTGGCCGAAAACAGGATACATTTCCTTTTAAAATAACATGGTATTTTTCCTTTTAAAATAACATGGTATTTTTTAGAATTGAATTTTTTTCTCTTGAACAGCAATATCCAAAAATATGTTTGTAGGAAATTAAACGATCTTCAAGAAAGCATTCCTACCAATTTACGATAAAATGACAAAATTACTTAAGTCATGTATAGTCAATGTTGAGTCCATGGTCAATATGCTTGCTTGTGGATTAGGGTAGGTCGAAAAAGCCTACGGCAACGGGTGCTTAAAGTTGGAGTTTTACTTTAAAAACCTGAAAAGAAATATCTGGAGTATGCGTAAGAGGATTAAAAATTTAATTTTTTCATAATACTTGTAATGTTGTAAAAAATAATCTAAATGATATCAAATTAGGGTACCTACCTAGTTTAGATAAGGCTGCCACTGTAATGTCATAAAAAATACAAAACGTCCTAACGAGTCTGCGCAATCGAATTAATTTTTTAATTTTGTAAAAAATTGGCTAACTTTTTTAAATTATTCAGGTCTAAGGTTATTAACTATGGTTTCGCGTAAAAATCGAACAAATTTTGGACATTTGTTTGCAAGTGATGCCAGAATTGAATATATTTTTGTTAACTTGTTTGTACATCTAAATGGTACTTTTTTTTCAAAAAAAAAATTTCATCCATTGACCCCTGTGGTTTTCAGGCCTTAAGTCACTCTACTGTGTTAAAAATAGATAAATTTCGATATTTTGTAATAACATTTTTATTTAAAAACGTATCGATTTGAAATTAAGATAAAATGTAGACCTTATTAGTGGCAATAAATCCACGTTTTATTTTTTTAGATTTTAATATACAGGGGGCACGGTGGACAATTTAATTTAAAATTTTACCATTTTTTAAGGGTTAAAAAGTCGAAGAAGCAACGTTGTTTTATAATTTTGAGTATATCACGTTAAAGTACTGATAATTAACTATTATTTGATATATAAACTTCTAAATGCAAATTATGTTTCTACGAGAGACACCATTTTTAAGTTAAGCCTTCAAAGAGCGTAATACTAACGTGTTTTACAAATTATAAATTGTTTTAACTAGTTTTATAAGATAATGTATTATATATTACATACAATATTTTATATATAACATACAATTCTTACATATTTATTTAAAAAAATCGCCATAGATGGAGCTAAAATTAGTTTTATTTATAAATTTTAAATTTTTTTAAGTTTACTAATTTTGATCATAGTAGGCATCACAGACTTATCTCTATGGTAACCTACCATTGGAAGCATGAAAAATAATTTAACAGTTCAGTTTATAAGTTGTAAATGACTGATTGCGTTTCAATTTATAAGTGTACTATAAACATAAAATATTAATTTATTAAAATGAATACACTAAATAATAATTATAGACAGTATCAGCAAGTTAGAAATTATAACCTACTTTAATTTTATTTTTTGCTCCACAACCAAGCTTCAATTTATGTTTTACTCGATAAACAAGCTTCAATTTTAATTCCTAACTAAGGAAAGTAATATTTACCCAATAAATAAATTAGAATAAAGACTTTTTATGTTGCAATCGGCTATTTAGATATAACTATATTTTTATTCATTTGTTTTTCGATTTTTTGTAATTAGTTATTTTGCATTTTTTTATATTTAATATAATGCTATACAGGGTGTTTCTGGAGAAACGCAAACGGTATGGATTTGAAATTTTAATAGAATATACAATTTGATTTAGACCATACATAAAGTTAATAGTTTTCAAGATATTAATTTTTTTCGTTAAAATGCACGTTAATCAAAATAGCCTCTAATTTGTTTGTTATTATGTTTGTTGACATGGGGTTGGAATTTTTGGAATATTAAAACATTGTTTAGTTTTTTAAAGGTTTTTCAACAAATACCTTGAGAAAAACCACTTGAAATTAGGCAAACTTCAAACAATAACAACGTTTTTATTATAAATGTAAAACCCTGTATGTTTTAACATAATCAAATAAAACATTAAAGAATCTTTCGATTGGTATTATAGTAACTCTTTCCTAAAGTTAAAATTTCAGAGACATTTAACAATTTCTAATATTCAATACTATTTTGTATCAACAAACCTCTGAAATTCTACATGTGGTTTAATGTAACAGTATCCATGGTTACCACCAAATCTGTCATTGTTTAAAATTAATTAAAATATTTGATTGAAAAAATAATAACTCAAAAAATATTGACTTTAGGTGTAGGATATGGTATAGCCATTTTACTCAGAATTTTATGTAGAATTAAATAATGTAAAAATATATGAGGTATTCCGGTAAAACAGGAAGTATTATTTTGTTTAAAATAATTTAGGAAAGCGAAAACTTTACGCTATTAAAATTTTAAATCGATGTCTCGCGATTCCCTAGAAACTTCCAACGGACTAAGTACGTGAAACACCCTGTATATTAAACGTCATTTATGTGTTATGCTTTACTTAATTATTAATAAAAGACATACAATATTTGTATAAAAATGACAAAATGTACTAAACTAAGCATTTATGAATACTGCTACTGCTAATTTAGAACTGATCCTGGCCACAGAAACATCATTTGCATAAAAAAGTTAATATATCAAATAATAGTCAAATATCAATACTTTCACGTGCTATACTCAAATTTATAAAACAACGTTGCTTCTTCGATTATTTACCCTTTAAAAATTGTTAAATTTTAAACTAAATTATTACCAGCGCCCCCTGTACGTTATAATCTAAACAAAATTTTTTCATGGATTAATTGTCATTAGTAAGATCTACATTTTGTCCAAATTTCAAATCGATACGTTTTGAAATAAAAAAGTTATTTAAAAAAAATGAAATTTCTTCATTTTTAACACAGCGAAGAAAAAAATTAAAATAAAAACAAAGTTGTCAATGGACGAGATTTTTTTTTTGAAAAAAGTACTGCATTAAGATGTAGAAATAAGGTAAAAAAGTTTCAATCGATTTCTTGAACCCTTGCAAATCGACCGTTCGATCCTTTCGCGAAACCGTAGTTAAGTATTATACGTAATTTTTAATAAATCTTAATAATAAAAGTTAAAATAATATTTACTTGAAGTAAACATTCAATTTTCTTAGTTTCTTTAAGAAACTTTCTTGACCCATCACTGGAAATATTCATAAGAAAAAATTGAACGTACACCTCGCCAAAGTTTTTTGTTTTGAATGCGTTCCACCAACTTCAAATACCGACAGACAGCTGTTTCGACCTTTATTGGGTCTCATCAGTGTCGGGCAACTTGGTGTAGTGGAACACAATCAAAACAAATTACTCCCTAGGCTTATATGCTCGGCAGTTAAGTCAACAGAGGCGAGATGCAAGAACATCTGGTGATCCTCACCGTCTAACGACGTGGCCTTTGCCGCAATCGGTACATACTATGCAACCGGGACTGCACACAGCAATTGTATCACAGATACTAATATGGCCTAAAGGAATCTAGAATTAACCCAACCGGGCTAAACATTAAGGTAAACATTCAATTTTCTTAGTTTCTTTAAGAAACTTTCTTGACCCATCACTGGAAATATTCATAAGAAAAAATTGAACGTACACCTCGCCAAAGTTTTTTGTTTTGAATGCGTTCCACCAACTTCAAATACCGACAGACAGCTGTTTCGACCTTTATTGGGTCTCATCAGTGTCGGGCAACTTGGTGTAGTGGAACACAATCAAAACAAATTACTCCCTAGGCTTATATGCTCGGCAGTTAAGTCAACAGAGGCGAGATGCAAGAACATCTGGTGATCCTCACCGTCTAACGACGTGGCCTTTGCCGCAATCGGTACATACTATGCAACCGGGACTGCACACAGCAATTGTATCACAGATACTAATATGGCCTAAAGGAATCTAGAATTAACCCAACCGGGCTAAACATTAAGGTAAACATTCAATTTTCTTAGTTTCTTTAAGAAACTTTCTTGACCCATCACTGGAAATATTCATAAGAAAAAATTGAACGTACACCTCGCCAAAGTTTTTTGTTTTGAATGCGTTCCACCAACTTCAAATACCGACAGACAGCTGTTTCGACCTTTATTGGGTCTCATCAGTGTCGGGCAACTTGGTGTAGTGGAACACAATCAAAACAAATTACTCCCTAGGCTTATATGCTCGGCAGTTAAGTCAACAGAGGCGAGATGCAAGAACATCTGGTGATCCTCACCGTCTAACGACGTGGCCTTTGCCGCAATCGGTACATACTATGCAACCGGGACTGCACACAGCAATTGTATCACAGATACTAATATGGCCTAAAGGAATCTAGAATTAACCCAACCGGGCTAAACATTAAGGTAAACATTCAATTTTCTTAGTTTCTTTAAGAAACTTTCTTGACCCATCACTGGAAATATTCATAAGAAAAAATTGAACGTACACCTCGCCAAAGTTGACTTAACTGCCGAGCATATAAGCCTAGGGAGTAATTTGTTTTGATTGTGTTCCACTACACCAAGTTGCCCGACACTGATGAGACCCAATAAAGGTCGAAACAGCTGTCTGTCGGTATTTGAAGTTGGTGGAACGCATTCAAAACAAAAAACTTTGGCGAGGTGTACGTTCAATTTTTTCTTATGAATATTTCCAGTGATGGGTCAAGAAAGTTTCTTAAAGAAACTAAGAAAATTGAATGTTTACCTTAATGTTTAGCCCGGTTGGGTTAATTCTAGATTCCTTTAGGCCATATTAGTATCTGTGATACAATTGCTGTGTGCAGTCCCGGTTGCATAGTATGTACCGATTGCGGCAAAGGCCACGTCGTTAGACGGTGAGGATCACCAGATGTTCTTGCATCTCGCCTCTGTTGACTTAACTGCCGAGCATATAAGCCTAGGGAGTAATTTGTTTTGATTGTGTTCCACTACACCAAGTTGCCCGACACTGATGAGACCCAATAAAGGTCGAAACAGCTGTCTGTCGGTATTTGAAGTTGGTGGAACGCATTCAAAACAAAAAACTTTGGCGAGGTGTACGTTCAATTTTTTCTTATGAATATTTCCAGTGATGGGTCAAGAAAGTTTCTTAAAGAAACTAAGAAAATTGAATGTTTACCTTAATGTTTAGCCCGGTTGGGTTAATTCTAGATTCCTTTAGGCCATATTAGTATCTGTGATACAATTGCTGTGTGCAGTCCCGGTTGCATAGTATGTACCGATTGCGGCAAAGGCCACGTCGTTAGACGGTGAGGATCACCAGATGTTCTTGCATCTCGCCTCTGTTGACTTAACTGCCGAGCATATAAGCCTAGGGAGTAATTTGTTTTGATTGTGTTCCACTACACCAAGTTGCCCGACACTGATGAGACCCAATAAAGGTCGAAACAGCTGTCTGTCGGTATTTGAAGTTGGTGGAACGCATTCAAAACAAAAAACTTTGGCGAGGTGTACGTTCAATTTTTTCATATTTACTTGAAGTATAATTTATTATCTTCATAAAATAGAATAATGGCAAATTAAATTAAACGAAATTTCTTAGGTACATTGTATTTTAACTAATTATGTTATATTACTAATATCATGTACCTATAATATTTAATTTCAAATTGCAGATAATAATCTTAGACCTGGGTAATTTAGGGCCAGTTTTTAAATAGGCTAGTTAAATCCAGAGTTGAATAACTATGGCTTATCTCTGACTTAAGTCAACTCCGAGTTTAGGCCGCGTTTGGGTTTTACAATTACAATTATAGTGAGGATTTATCAACTCTAGGTTTGCATAAATTTTGTAATAAAGGTTGGTAATGCGTTGTCATGGCAACGGCTGCACGCCAACGTTATTTTTTAATCTGTTGTGCGGTTTTAAAACACAATGTCACGAAGGTAGTGTGATCATTATTAGAAAATTATTAAATTTATTGATTACAATTTTAAGATTACGGTGAGTTTATTTTTTGCTTTAGTGGAAAATGTGCTGCAATTTATTAGGTATATTTATTTGAAGGAAGTGATGTCGTGTAAAAAAGGCTCGATCTACAACTTTTTCTTCGCCTAAAAAGAAGTACTACCCAGCCGTTGACGGGGCGCAAACCTGTCCGGCTAAACAAACAGCTAATTCAAGAAAAAATTGGTTTTGTTAAACTACAGAAAGAAAATTGTTTGAAAATGAAAGTGTTGCGGCTTGATTATATAATTTTAAGAACCCGTGGCGTAAAACCGCAGGTAAGCAACAATTGGTTTTCCGCGGATAAAGCGTCATTTCTACAACGAACAAAATTAAAATATGACATTTACAAGGACTCAATAAGCTGAGACCTGTCTTGCAATACTTTTTGCTAAATAAACTTTTCACCTGTTTGTAGGGTATTGTATTACACCAACAATATTTTCTACCGTTCTTGGAGGCAAAAGAAATCTGGTTAGAAAATCAATATTGTCTCACATTTCAAAATGATTTATTCTTGGACATATAACTTTTGGTCTTCTAAAGTCCTCTTCGTCATTACTATAGGCATTCACATCATAGTCCCACATTATCACTTTACACAACACTCACAACAGAACGATATATAACCTCTTTTTATTTTAATTCTTACTTAACTCATACCCTTTCTGGGAATTAAAGTATCTCTGAGTTGAATATAAACTCGGGGATTAAAATGAATTGAAAAACGCGAATTTAGTAAACTCCAAATTTAACTCGGGGTTTGAAGTTAAACCTCGGATTAAATCACATTGAAAAACTGGCTCTAATTTGGTTTCAATAAGATTATTTTTTACAAAAAAACAAGTTTTATGAAAAATTTGAATTTTCAACCCACTTGCGCAGACTTCAAATATATTTTTATACTTTAAGATTTTTAAGGGTTGTTACTAAAGTACAACTTTTGACACCTACCCCGTTGCCATAGTTAAAAATCGACCTTTCTTGGGCTACTCTAGTGAACAAACAGGCATATTGACCATGGTCTCAACTTTGACTATGAATATCTTTTTTTTTTGTAGAGCTGCTATACAAAAAGCTCTCTCACCAATACTAGAGTGTTTAATTTCCGAAAAAATATGTATTGTACCTGTTACACATAAAAACTTAAACTTACATCTTGTTTGAGAGTGGGTTCCTGATCCTCGCACTCAATCAACAAATACCAATAGAAATAATTGGCCAATCTTAAATTCTTACAGGCTCTCTGTATCAAAAACGACGCTAAATCTTGAACGTCCTCCTCGTCCGCCATGTGACTTTGAAGGGTATCAGTGTTGGCCGAGTCCGTGTACGGATTGATGTGCAAATTTTGCAGCGCTGTCTCGGGAAGACTGGTGGGCCTTTGCTCGCCGTCCAGTTCGATGACGCTGTTTACGTTCGAGGCGGCAATGCGATCCGCTTGGTTATAGCTGGAAGATCGTTGCATCGATTCTCCCCCGGTTATGGTGCTGTTGCTTTCTTTGCTATCTTTTTTCTCTAGAGGTGGTTCTCTTTCGTCAGCTATGGTAATGGTTTCTCTAGCTGGGGAAATTCGTTGATAACCTGGGTTGAAAATAAATAATAAGAAAAAATGTAAAAGCACTGCCGAAACTAGGTGTAAGTAAATATCAAAACACCAAAAGTATGAAATAATATAAAAATACAGAAATTTATTTCCTAGGAAGTAAGGGTGGAACTAAAAAATCCACTTTTTGTATTATTTGGGTTGGATAACGTGTTTCTGTTTTTGTTGCTCGTATCGGGATAAAAACGGAAACAGTATTGAAACATATGCCAAACGTTTCCATAACACGAAAACGTTTGGTATAGAAACGAAATAAGTAAGTATCAAAACATAAGTAACAAAACAGTATAAAAACGAAATTAGGTGGTCAAACTTTGGACCGCTATTATTTATTCTCTTTATCAATGACCTTGTTTCTTCACTAAAAACTCAAAATTTACTTTTTGCTAACGATTTAAAGTTATATCCCACTGTACTGTACAATAACGACTGCGATATTCTTTATTTCGAGCTGAGCTTAACTCCGTTGAGGTGTGAGGAAAACTCCTTAGGCCTAAACATATCTAAATGTAAAGTTTGCTCGTTTCCTCCTAAACTTAATTCAATTAGATTTAACCACTTTAAATATTGACCCGTTCTAGCTTAGTCAAAGATCTTGAAATTCTATTTAATAGTAAGTTTAGCTTTGTTAATCATATTCAAAATATTTGTAACTCTCCTAATAAGGTTCTTGGTTTTATTCATCGAAATTGTAAATCTTTTAACAATTTATTTGCACTAAAGTAACTGTACTTCAGTTTAGTTATTTTTAAACTTGTTTAAATATTTGGTATTCTTATTTTCAGATTCACTGCAAATCACTTAAAGCAGTTTAACGTCGATTTTTGAACATAATCTGTTATGAAGGAATTAAATATTTTAGCACTAGATGTTGGGCGGAATATATTTTTTCTACTCCTATTACGGAATTTGACCGTTTTATTATCACTTTTATCTATGGAATCACATATATTCCGTAAAGTGTTACAGAATGAAATATTCTATCATCCTATGACAGAATAAACACTCGTGGCGACATCTCTGTTTTTAATATCTAACCAATTTTAGACCGATCCAACCCCACTTTCTTCCACTCAAATGACTTTTCTATGGTACTTTTTGGAAACGTAGAAAAAGTATAGTCTGAAATACGTTTGGAATTGCATATTCCGCTCTCGTGAAACCGTCAAACTCGCCTTCGGCTCGTGTGACAAACTCTTCACTCGAGCGGAATATGCTGTATTCCAAACTTGTTACAGAATATACTATTCAATTAAATTTTTACACAAACTTGTCCGTAATAAGATTGACTATCCAGATCTGCTTGAGCGGTTAAATTTTCATGTTCCAGGCATTCATTTTAGGTCAGTTTCAACCTTTAAATGTTTTGCTTGTACGAATGTAGTACTGCGGTCGCTAATGTTGGTTATGTGTACCAACCACAGACCAACTTTAATAAAATCTCACGTGTGTGATTTTAACCATTCTGAATTGTCGTTTATTATTTGTATTTTTTCAAGCATTACTTAGTTTATTTTTGTTTATATACTTATTTTACAAAAGTTATTTTATATTTTTGCTGTTGTGCTGTTACTATAGGTTTTTGTTTTTTTTGTCCTGTTATTAAAATTTTTTCTATCAAGCAAATAAATTTATTATTATTAAATTAGAAACTAAACCTGCATGAGATATGGAATGGTAACGAACATTTAAGAATTGGAACGAAAACATTGAAAAATGAGTTATCGCCCTGGGTGTAATTATTTGTAAGAAATCATAATCTTGAAAATCTTTAGACCTGCCCAGACCATTTGCAAATAAAAAAAAGCATGTGCTAAAGTAAAACTTCTTTTAAACAATTTAATTTAATTCGTATTTTGTTTTTATTTCAGTGTGTTCAGGGAAAGGGGTAAGGGGGTTGCTTTTATACGTAATGCATAAATAGCGGTTTAAAATTTCGTGTCCGCCACTGTACGGAAGTCTACAACAACAAAAAATATTAAAAAAGTCTTAAGAGAAGAGCAGAAAACAAAGTTAAGAAAACCAAAAAAGGATTGTCCAATTATTTTTAAAAAATAAATAACTTACAATAAATAATTTACTTTAAAAACGAAATTATGGTAGTTACCAAATAAATCAAACCAAATATTCTCAGATGCCGGATCTTCTAGACGAGAATGACAGATTGATAATGTTGGTTGAACACAGTCAACATTATCGTTTATTATTGCAAAACAGTGCGGTAAAAGTTAACAAAAATACATACAACATTTACAACACAGTTTAGCAATAATAAACGGTAAACGTCTTTGCAACTTTAATAATTTCTTACTCGGAAACCAGACGGTCAATCTTTTTAAAACTTTGTAAATGTCTTTTAAGTACTCTACTGCAACCTAGAATTTTTTCAACATTTCTCATAGCGATTAATATCGTTACCGAACATTCTTAATCAATAATTATTAATAATAATTCATTATGTACGTTATATTGTTGTAATTTTAATGTGCAGTTTTTAATTACCCGGTTTTAAATAAGTTACATTTAAGGGCAGTTTTTAATTATACAATTTTAAATTTTCACCCCAATGTCATTTTTAAGATCTGTTTTTTTACATGTTTTTGACAGGTGTAATAATGACAGTTAAAAGTCAAATAATAATGAATTATAAATCAATATTCTTATGACACTCATTCCTTACGCCACGAAAACATAAACAAATATGATTTCTTCTTCGTTGACTCTTCCTAATATCGATTTTCTAAAGTGACTTATCATGTGACCGAGGGTTACGGAACATTCGCCTCAGAGTGTTTCATGTTCTTTGGTTTAAACTTCTGTAACGCCGCGTTTTGGTTGACCCCGTCCGCAAAGATTTTTCACGTCAAAAATTTGTTTTTGTTCACAGTCTCGTTACCATTTCGTTACCCACGTATCGTTACTAGGCTTATTTCAATACCCAATATTTTGATAGGTACTTTTCGTTTCCATCCCTATAACGTTTCGGTCCCATTGCGTTACTCGCAACGGATCTAAATTTCGTTTCTATACCATAAGTTTTAGTATTTATTTCTATACGATTGTTTTAGTTATTTCAATTTTTTTTGGAACTGGTTAGAAACGTTTCAAGACTTTTGTTTCATTTTGTGTTCTGTTGGTAGAAACGATACCGGGAGAAATGCAGTTTTGTTTAAATGTTATGTTTTTGCAGCAAACCCTAGATTTAATCATTTTCATATTCATTCATTTTCATATTTAAAAAAATTATAAACACAAAGTGTACATTTTCTAATTGAAGAGCGCCAGTAGATTACCAATACCTATAAACAATAGCTTTAAAATTTTAATATTTAAACAAAGCCGATTCTATTGCATTACCATTAAATATTGTATAAAATTTATAACCGAATCAATTTTATTCTCAAAACATTTAAAAAGTCATAAAATAATACTAAAATTGGAAAAACTATAAAAACTACAAAAATTCCTTTTAACCTAGTTACGGTACTTTTTTCCCCATTTTTTTTACCATCTTTGATAGTTTCAAAGTTTTCATATTTGAGTGCTTGAACTAACTGTAGCAAATATAAAAGGATGTCTTCATCTGGAGCTTGTTGTAACCTTCCAATGGCATATTTTCTTACTTCCGGATGAGTGAAATTCTGACTTAAAAGCTCTAGGGCGTCCTCCACATCCATGAGAGCCCATTTTTCCATCATTGCCAAAGCTTGACGCACCTAAGCAAAATTTTATTTTTAGAATTGTAAAATTTCAATCTAAAAATGTAAGGTATAGAACATCAAAAATATATTTTACCTCATTAGGTTGATTCCAGTTAACGCACTTGAGAAACTTGGCTAAGGCTTTCTTATGGGTGCTTAAGTAAAAACGAAACTTCCACACGTGATCTTGTTCCTCGTTGGACAGTTGTTTTGTTGGTGGATAGGAAACGATAATGTTTAGGATATCGCGCATTTCGGCGTTGGGTTTGGCATCTTTGTCGCAATTTCCGCTGCGCAAGGAGCGGGCCAATTTGTGGTGCTTACTCTCCACCAAATTTTCCTTTTAAAAGCATTTTAATTTTAAATATACAGGCTAACGGTATGTCACACTGCAGTGGTTACTATTCTAAGTATAAAAAATAACAAAAACAATTTTCGACGAGTAGAATTTTGAGTTTAAAAATTGAATTTTATTTTCTTTTATTTTTTATTAACGTAAAAGGATTGAACATAATTTCCTAATTACGTTTCAAAAATAAAAAGCTAAAATTTATTAATATTAAAGCTTAATTTTCATGTATCCGTTTGTCCGTCAGTCCGTTCATCCGGGAGCGCTCTTATTGGTCCAATTATAATTCAAAAATTATGACATTTTTCTGTCCGTCAAGTTTTAACTTCGTACGTCTGACGGAGAAATTTAAAATAATTTTAACTAATCTGTCACTACCACGGTCTTATATACGACCGTGGTCATTACACATCTGTTTTTGACGCCTAACGTTATTTTAAGATACTTTATTTTCAAATCTTAATAAGATTGTAAAACGGAAATATAACGTTCGTTGTGTGAATAATGTTCTACTTTTATGTTTTTATTTAATAATAATAAAAGAAGAAAAGAAGAGACAAACAATAAAATATTAAAACCAGAACTAAAAGGACCTGCTTTTTTAAAACTATACATTTTAATGTAAATTAAGGCTAGTATATTCTTTTTATATGGTATATTTACCTACCTTTAAATTTATTAGACAGCTAACTGTTAAAGTTACAATTGTTGACATAATTGTAACTATGACAATTAAGCATTAGGTAAATTTAGTAAAGTGAATATACTGACACTTAATTTCTATTTGTCGCCAAATCAATCCGTTAAACGTCATTTAAAAACGTATGCATGAAAATTAGAACATTTCTTATCGGACGTTTTTATTGAAAAACTGACATACGGATGACGGACAAACGGATACATGAAAATTAAGCTTTACAAGGTTATGATGTTTTGTAGAGGGTGTCCCGAAATAAAGGAGCCAAAGTAAAACATTGCAACCAGTCAGAGCTACGGCCCCCTGAAGAGGTGCCTAATAGGATGGTTTGATTCCTTGATCTCGTTGAACATAAAGAAATGAATTTTTGGTACTTTGTATTTTGATGTACATGCTTAATAATAAACATGTTTGTATTAAAAGTTTTCGGAGCTTTGGCCCCCTGAAGAGGGACCTAATGGGATGATTTGATTCCTTGATTTCGAGGGTTGAACTGAGAAATGAATTTTTTAGTAATTTTGGCAAGCTAAATCCAGTTTAAAATCAAAACTACAAAATTCAATCATAGGCGTAGGGGAGAGTGGGTAGACATTGGACAATTTTTAGATTTTTTTGCCTGGGTCTCTTAAAAATTTAATTATTTCTAATTTCAAAGTTTCAGGTAATAGTGTCGACTTCTGAAAACGCAAAGAGATAAATATGTGCACTTTAAACCGTAAGATGGGTTTGCTACGAATTTTTGAAAATTTTCGGTCATCTGTCCAAAGTCACCCGACATACGGGGAGATTCTGGACAGCTTACGGGGTGCATTTGGACACTATAAAAATATTATAAATTCAGGAATTTTATTGAAAAAATCAGTGCAAAACTTATACAATACTAAATTGTGACAAATCAAAATTAAAGTAAATCATGTTATAGAATCGAACTCCGTCAGTGGGTGGGAAAAACCAATACCAGGTCCTTAAAATCCACCAAGGCTTCATCTTCATTTGTTTCTTTAAATCTGTATGATGGAAACTGCCTTTTAAGGAATTTGACTGTATATCCTCGGTTTAATTTTTGCAATATTCTGCTAACGAAGTGCCGGGACGATGTTTGGACAATAAGGAAGACTCTAGACAGTGTGTCCAAGCTCTCCCTACATGTTTAAAAATGTTTATAATTTCAAAATATAGCAACGGAATAAAGTAATAATATAACAAAAGTTCCATGCTTTATACATGCTTTAATATGTAGTAACTTTAAATTATTTATCTACAACGGTCTGGGCAGAAAACTTACAAGGGGAAAGTAAAATATTACATAAAAAAACTCGAAATAAAACTTTTCCACTTACCTCTTCTACAGCTAAACTCAAACTTATTTCACTACCACTATTTGATACCTTACCAACTTGACGATCTGTAATAGTAGAACCAACCTGAAATTTTTACTGGAACCGCGAAATTTGTCCATTGTCCATTGTCTCCCAGTGTCCAGATCCTCCCCACTCTCCCCTACCATTTGCGAGTCAAGGCACAAAAACAGCACATTTTTTCTGGGTCAATGTTTTATGCATTTTTCTCTACGCTGCAATGTGAACTTTTGTAGATCGTTTAATTCTTTTAACGGCCACGACAAAATTAAATGAAAAATAGTTATTTATGTCATAAGGCTAAGAAGTAAGTCTTTTTGTGCTGATTACAGTTACAACTGTAGTCGAATCGAGGGAAAAACCTGATTGGTCTAAATTATTTTTCAGCTTAGGCGACAATCAATAACTTTGTAGTGCGTTTCGTCAATAATAAAGGTTAATGACATAACCTACTCTTAATAATTTTTTTTACCAAACGTATCTGGAAATTGGCTTTTCGACACAATTTTTTGTGAAATTTTTGTGAAATAACTGTCCAGTCACGACAAAATTAAATGAAAAAAATACTATAATTTCAAGCGGTCCATAAATTAAACATAATTGTCAACACTCGCCACTAAAGTGATTGATTATGACCTAGGTACTTAAAAACTTATATGAGGTAATATTTAGTTCGTTTTCTTCTCGCCAGTGGCTTAGGTGTCAGTAATTGAACGCTATTTCATTATGCACTGTTTGGACCAATCATAAAATTTGATTTCACTTGCTACTTCTTATAACAATTTAAAAGCAATAACACTGAGATAAAATTACCTTAAAGGAACCAAAAGTACAGCAAAATTGAAAACAGTTTATACATTTTGCAAGGCTTATTTTCATTAAAATAAAGACATATAACTGATAATAATTTTGCTATATTTTAATTGCTACATGGAAATAATAATAACAAATTTCTATAGAATCATTAAGACCATTTTAAATAAATTTTACCTGTTGGGTGGGTAAAAAGACAACAAAAGCAACGAAGCATATCACACAAACACATCTTTTAGATTTAATGTAATTAAATCCTCTGTTCAGGTCAGGAACTACATGAAACCTTTTAAGTATAATATGGGTAATAACGTTACATTACACTTATTCCAAATTGGAATTTCCAATTTATCTTGCATGAAATGCAATTTGTTCAAGCCATACATTTATTATCTGATAATGTGTTACATACTTAGGCGCTCATAATTTCCAATAAACTGGATAATACCCAATTAATAATATTTCAAGGCATTTTTAATAATATGGTTAAGTTTAAATTTAACAAAAAAATTATTGCTTACCCTGAGTATTTCTTGATCAGGAACTGTAACCAAATCAGTCTGTACTCTAAAAGTGTAGATTTCCTCTCCATTTGGCTCAAAGTAAACAATATGATGAATTATGTTGTCTATTGTTATTATGGGAAATTCTATCATTAAATATAAATAATCCGAAGACCTCTTTTCTTTTTCATTTATTAATTCTAGCTCCCTAAAGGTTAATCTATCCAGCCAATCAACCTAAAAGCAATAAATAAAAATCCTTTTTGGCATCTTAGTTAAAACAAGACAAAATCTCTTTGAGCATTAGGCATTTAGCATGGAGCAAACATTTTTATCAAATTTGATGTGTTCTAAAAAGCATAATCTCTCCCAAATTTATTTTTAATGGATTTGAGTTTAGTGGTCCCTTGATTTTTCATTATTGTTTGTTAAAATAAGTAGGACTTACGCATCCCTAAAAATTATTGTTTTTGCAATTTAAAAAATTAGAATATTTTTCTAGAATACATCATGCGAAACTACTGAATCGAATCATTTGAAATTTACAGGGTTACAGTAAAATTAAATATTCGGTCGAAAAAAAAAATTCTTAATTTAACTATTTATGATGGTGATAAATAACTAATACAGGATAATATCATATAATGAAAAAAAAATTCTCTGGGATTGGACTATCCAAGTAGAATTTTTAGTGGATAAAAAGTATCAGCCACTTATTCTTGGTGTATTGCCAAAATCTCTGCCACGTGGTAGAAATGGTTCTATTACATGGAAGTGACTAAAATGGGGAACACTTTTTAGTGTCAGTTACGTTTAGGGCTGCCAGCCCTCCCGATTTTTAAACGACGTCTTAAAGCTCCCGATTTACTTAAAAACCTCCCGTAAACTTCCGTTTTTTTGGCAAGCTTAAGCGTAATTACGAAATGATCACAGATTATAATCATTAAGTTCCTTTAATAAACTGTCTTATTTATATTGGGTATACTATTTTTTTTAGAAAGTCAATAGAGTGTGCTAGCATACTTAGGTATTCAAATATATTTGTATTACAAAAACTTGGATAGCATTTGGCCAAGGACCAAAAACCTTTTCTTGGGTAAACAAAATTATTTGTAAAATTTCATTCATTCATTAATTAATTTTTAATGCTGCTAAAAAAATTAATAATGATTTGGAAACCTTTTTAATTCTTTTGAAAAAAGTTCCAAATGCTGATTAACCTTTTGAGCATTATTAAATATGAGTTATTTTACAAATAATTTTACTAAGCCCAGTAAAAGTTTTTTAGTACAGTCATCTTAGTCAAAAAAAGGGATCAACCTCGGAATCTAACGGAATAAGCTGAATTTTTGTGAAAACCTTTATTTTAGCATTGCAAATGTTTTCTCAAAAGTCACATATGCCAACGTGTGAGCGGCCTTAGATATTCAAGGTCAAAGGTCACAAAAATCAGTTTTTTGAGAATATCTCGTTTTCTCTGCCTCCTATCGTATTTGCATTTATTATAAAAGTTGTAGAGAATAAAATTCTCTACAAATTTTGTTTATAAAATTTTTTTATACGTCGAACCGTTTTTAAGATAGAGGGCGCCGAGTGTGGAGCGCTCAGCCGTACGTACCTTTAGCGCAAGGTACGATTTACGTAAATCGTGGATCCCAATCTAGTATACCGTTTTTTTAATTAATTATATATTAAATATTACTAAAACAAAAATTTAATACCTTATACTTATATTTATATTTCTTTTAAATCAAATATATTTTATCTTCATATTTATCTTATATTTTATTTCCGATCAGAGTATTAAAAAATGTTTTTATTTATATCAATATTATTATTATTATTATTAATCTTTATCTTCTTCATCCTCGTCTTCTTCAGGTTGGCCAGCAATTTCAAACTCATTCTCATCATCACTCTCCTCGTATATCATTGACATTAATTGTCATATCTTTAAAAACTTACTCATAACGCGTTTGTACTTCGCAGATTTTTTTGCCTTTGTTGCCTCATCTGCGACTTCACCACAAAATAAGCACAATATTTTAAAATCAAACACATCATTCCCTTTTTTACGAGGTACAGTTGATGACGTTGAAGGTCCAATCTCTTCAAGGCGACGTTTTGCTGCTGCAATTTTACTATACACAGAAGTCAAAGTATTTAGGTAGTTTATGTTTATTTCTCTCAATAATTGCTTCTTTTAAAGTCTTTATACCGCGCACAAAAGTCACATAATCACCTTCAGAAAGTAACTTATTACAAATAAAACACAAATCAGCCATGTTAACCTTTAAAATATTACGAATATCACAGATTTTAAAGGAATATTACCTGTCACAACCCTAGACCTATACCTAGGGTCACAACTTGCTTTAAATGTAGGTATACCTTTTTATTTATAGCAAGCCCACTATAGTATTTCCAGGTCTGTTATTTTAAAAGCAATATCTGGATCCAAGAGATGACATACTCAAGGCCAATTCATTTAATGTCTTTTCTTCTTAAAATGCATTTATCATTAATTAGAATAACATTAGAATATATTTAGAATGATTCACTTCATTATTTAATTATTTGTATGTCAAAAGTAAGTAATATTTAATGACTATTTGTTTTAAAAAAATAAACTGCGCACCACTCAATGTGTCGCGACCAAAAAGTTCGTCCTTTTTCAAAACGGCATAACTTTTTTGTTTCTTGAACGATTTTATTTTGGTTTGTGATGTCTGCTAGCCCCATTCTCTGGAAATTCATGCTATAGATATGAAGCTCACGGTTCTTCAAGTAAATTTCCTACAGGGTGATATGTAAAACGGTGAAAAATTTCAATAACTTCATCCAAGCCCCGTTTGTAAAAAAAAATATTTTTTTCTCATTTTTACTTTGAAATAATGAAGTATTATGTCTTACCTTAAATCGTTTTTTAAATTTTTCGAATTGGAATCTTAGCAACAAAAATATGATTTTTTTTTTCAATGGAGTACATTTGATGCTTTTTGTAGGCAATACACTCAGCCTTTTTAAGAACAAAAATATAAGATGGTGAAAGATTGTTCCTTGAATAATTCTGAACAAGCGACAAGCAACAAACTTCCATTATTTTCAGAGACCACTTTTTCAAAATGACATTTTAGTGAAAATTTTCGAAAACTAAACCTGAACCGATATTTACGATGAATTGGTAAATTCGATTCAGGAAGAATGGGAAGCCACACCCCAGGAATTTCTAAGGAACTTGGTCTAGGGAATGCCCAGGAGGGTTTATGAATTATTACGGGTTAGGGGAGGGCCAACGAAATATTGAAAGTTATTATTGTTATTATTTGTTACATTTTTCTGTTGAATGTTGCAGTTTTTATTATGATTATATCTTCGCATAAAATTTTCAAAAATAAACAAACAAATTTTGGGGAATTGTTTTCTAATTTTGATTCTTGGTGATTTTGGTTTTATCTAAAACTTAAATTTGACAACTGAATCACATCAGGAGGTCAAAATTTTAAAGCAAAAAGTCAAGAACGTAAATATCGGTTCAGGTTTAGTTTTCGAAAATTTTCACCAAAATGTCATTTTGAAAAAGTGGTCTTTGGTTAGGTTCCTCTAAAAATAATGGAAGTCTGTCGCTTGTCAGAATTATTCAAGGAACAATCTTTCACCATCTTATCTTTTTGTTCTTAAAAAGGCTGAGTGTATTGCCTACAAACAAGCATCAAATGTACTCCATTGAAAAAAAAAATCATATTTTTGTTGCTAAGATTCCAATTCGAAAAATTTGAAAAACGTTTCAAGGTAAGACATAATACTTCTTTATTTCAAAGTAAAAACGAGAAAAAAATATTTATTTTACAAACGGGGCTTGGATGAAGTTATTGAAATTTTTCACTGTTTTACATATCACCCTGTAGTAAATTTACTTGAAGAACCGTGAGCTTCATATCTATAGCATGAATTGCCAGAGAATGGGGCTAGCAGACATCACAAACCAAAATAAAATCGTTTAAGAACCAAAAAAGTTATGTCGTTTTGAAAAAGGACGAAATTTTTGGTCGCGACACATTGAGTGGTGCGCAGTTTATATAAAAATAAATATAAGGTATTAAATTGTTATTTTAGTAATATTAACAAATAACTAATTAAAAAAACGGTATAATAGATTGGGATTCATGATTTACCTTGCGCTAAAGGTACGTATACGTATATGGCTGAGCGCTCCACACTCTGCGCCCTCTATCTTTAAAACGATTAGACGTATAAAAAAATGTTTTAAACAAAATTTGTGGTTCTTATTCATATTATACATATTTTAAGTTAGAATTTCTAACCAGGATTTAACCAATTTTATTAAAATCTATATAAATTTGATTAGGTATGTTATAAAATTAACTTTAATCAATGTTGATTGGTTACTTTCCTACGAAGGCGTAGAAGGGACACAGCACAAAAAAAATAATTAATTTTAAAATTTCGAGTTATAAGTCGAAATTTTACCCTAAAATTTCGAGTTATAACACGAAATTTTAAAATTTCGAGTTATAACTCGAAAATTTACCCTAAAATTTCGACTTATAACACGAAATTTTAAAATTTCGAGTTATAACTCGAAATTTTAGGTTAAAATTTCGACTTGTATCTGTATTTTAAAATTTCGAGATATAACTCGAAATTTTAAAATTTCGAGATACAAGTCGAAATTGTAACCTAAAATTTCGAGTTATAACTCGAAATTTTAAAATTTCGTGTTATAAGTCGAAATTTTAAAATTTCGTGATATAACTCGAAATTTTAAAATTTCGAGATACAAGTCGAAATTGTAACCTAAAATTTCGAGTTATAACTCGAAATTTTAAAATTTCGTGTTATAAGTCGAAATTTTAGGGTAAATTTTCGAGTTATAACTCGAAATTTTAAAATTTCGTGTTATAACTCGAAATTTTAGGGTAAAATTTCGACTTTTAACTCGAAATTTTAAAATTAATTATTTTTTTTTGTGCTGTGTCCCTTCTACGCCTTCGTACTTTCCCAACCACTAATTTTTTCCACTAATTACGAGGTTCTGAATGAAGCCGCATTTAGAACCTCGTAATTAGTGTAATAAATTAGTGGTTTGAATTAACGTAAAAGTTTGTCTTATGAATAAACACAGTGTTGTTCACAACCAAAAAATTAGTGGTAGAACTATTCAATTAGTGGAAAAAGTTTGCAAACTTCTAACTTTTACCACTAATTATAATTGG